GTGAGCGCAGAAAAGTGATGATCTTCGCTTTCGAACCCTCGTTAGACACAACCCTAGATATGTACTTCTGCGATGTAGATTGTAACCTAATCGCTGTCACAGTCTTACCACCTTTGTCGTAGTAGCACATATATGCTAAATCGTTAAGAAATGTCTTCCTTAGATCTAGAAGTAGTAGATGTGTAATGTGATCCTGTAGGGACATCACGGCTTGTGTAAGGGGCTACGCTCAGGGAGCTATCGCACAGGTATACTGGAGTTGTATTCGATAGAGAAGAGAACTACAGGTAGCTAGGGTTCTGAAGGTCGTTCAGGGGGCGGCGGCTCGGGATAACCTTCCGCCGGGCTCGCTTGCACAGAATCCGGGTGCTCAGGGGGGGCACCCGGAATCTGTGGACAGTGCGCCTCGCGCACGTAACCGAGATATCATCGAGGACTCACCAACTGGGCTCCAGCCCATCACAAGAGCCAATAGGCCACGCGGCCCTGAGACAACCAGCCAAGCTGTAACACGCTGCACAGCGAATTGCAAAACCGGTCTTGCTCCCTCAAGAACTTTAAGAATCAACTCAAGTCCCTGTCGCACTGGGATGGTCCCTGCTTACATATAACCGATTACTATTGCACTAGCACGCTGCATCTCAAAACGACTAGCGTACAAATATTAAAGGTATGGCTTAACTACTTCGCTAACTCTAGTGTAGGATTCAGGCACATGAAGCTAACTCACTAGGTGTCTAAGAGATATTTAAAACAGACCTTTTACTATGAAACTACTGCAAGGGAATAAGGCTACAATCCTTATATGACACTCCTCACGATCGTTATGATATGGTGCGTACAAATAGAGAGAGCCCAATCAATGCCACGCCTGGCTTTAAGCGAGCACTCATAACGTGTTCTATCTGTAAGTGGCTCACCACACCAAACCTGACGCAGCGTTTTGCGCGATAGCTCAACAATTACATAGAATCATATAGTATTATTAAAGGCTTGTAAGCAAACTCTAGATACGACCTAGTACAGTTCTAGGCGAGCTTCTTAGGGCTCGCTGAACTCTGGCTGGGCTCCAAGGCTCCACTAGCCGAGGTTAGGCTGGTAAATGGGTCTCCACATCGGGATCTTAGAATCTGCAATATTTCTATGAACTCTAATCCGATGTAGACAATCGATGCCTTATTGTATAGCCTAAATCTAGATCTATATTTTGTATATAGAAAGTATCTAGCTAGCTAAAGTAGCTAGCTAGAAATCTTAGATCGGAGCTAAATGTGGAGACCCAACTCTTGGCAACGTGGGTTAGCTAATAACTTTTTATTTATAAGACTTAAAGAAAGACTTTCTATACAGAAGATATAGGTCTAGATTGAAGCTATATAATAAGTTATTCATCGTCCAAGTGTGGTTTGAACCTATAGAGATATCGTGGATTTGAGTTCCCTGATGAGGAGACCCATTTGCCAGCCTAGTACTGCTCGAGGAAAGAGCAGCGAGCCATGACTACTATTCACCTTTCAATTGCAGATCTGCCAAAAAGGATATGTCTTTGCAGATACACGCAGATCTACATTCTTCTTTATTTGCAGATCGTGCAGTGTCCGCACTGATCCCGGCGTGTCATTAGATTGCTCGGTGTCAGGACTAGAATGCCCGAGGCTAGCCTAGCTTGCCAAGGCACAGAGTATATAAGTCAGTCGTGAGAATCGCTACAGCGGTAGCGATTCGTCTTAGTACAAATGCACCCCTTTGTGCCTGCTACGTACTACCCTACGCTACATAACCTGAGGCCTCCTTACAATCCTAACACTAGGGGAACAAGGCGTACAAGGCGTACGAAAAGCTTCGTATTGCAAATCTAACGGTTGGACCGTGCTGCGAAATTGGTATCGAGCAATACGCTCGTGCGCGGAGACCTAATTTTGGATTGCCTATTAACTGCAATGAGCACTGCCCTGACTGAATTACTACCGTTTTCATGATGTACATGCCACGGTCTTTACTTTTGAATCTGGCAAGCTGCCTCTCTTTGGCAACGTTCGTTGCTTCATTCTCCACCGATGACCAAGGATTCTCACCTGCTAAACGCAATACGACGATCGAACAGAGCTTGTTTTACGACATCAACGGTGCCGAAGTAGAGAAAAGGATTGCAAAACTGAAAGCTAAGGGATATCGGCCGACGTCTCTAAGTATCTATGGCTCGCACACCGATGCGAAATATGCCGGCATCTGGACGAAGCAGGGCGGCAATGCATACGAGACTATACTGGGCGCCAATGAAACCGCCTACAACGCCTGGGTAGATTATTGGAGAGCCAGTGGATATGTTTCTACACACGTTTCCGCCTCCGGATCTGCCTCCATTGCGCTGTTTGCCGGAGTGATGCAGGAAATGCCTTCGATCCGAACCTGGGTCCAGCAGTGTGGCCTTAACAACCCTTACGCTTATGCAAATGCGACAATGGATATACCAATGATCATCAAAGGCGTAAGCATGTATGGACTCCCAAACGAGCGCCAGTACTGCATCCTGGGGCATGAAGACACGGTGAACCACCAACAAACCATCTGGTACCAGACAGACTCGTTTGTCAACCACTACAAAACGCTTGAAGCTGCTGAGACTTCAAAGAGATACTGGAGACCGGTTTATATCGACGTTTCTGAAGACCTAGTCCTAACACCGATTTTCGACGACACGAGTGTTGGGCAGTGGAACGCCCTTACGGATCTCATCACATCGCAATTGGGTCCGGAGATAGCCGCACGAAAGGCAAAGAACATGTACCCCATCCATATCTCAGGCGCGGGCACTGCAGGAGTAAGATATGCTGTGATCTTCGCCGAACAAACAACGCCTATTGATCGCGAATGGCACACCACAGGCACAGTCACCGGCTTCGACGACAACGCCGGGGTCAGCAATGCTCTGGATAAAGTCATGCAAAAGTTCATGAGAAGGAACAGCGTTAGGCAAGCTCAAGTCGCCGCTTCAGTCAATGGGACAGTCATCGCTTCGCGCGCGTACACATGGGCTGAGAGCGACCGCGCCGTTACCCAGCCATCGGATAAATTCCTTCTTGGAAGTGTCTCAAAGGCTTTCACGTATGCAGCAACAAACCGTCTTATCTCCATGGGTCTGCTGAACTTGACTACTCCCGTCTACCCGTTCCTCGGATACAACGCGCCCGCCGACGAACGCTCGTTGAACATCACTGTCCAACACCTCTTGGACCACACTGCCGGGTTCGATCGCTCGATGTCTCCAGATATAGGTTTCATATTCACAACCGTCGCACAGTCTCTCAATCAAGCCACACCTGCCACGCTGCGGCAGGTCATCGAGTACGTAGTTGCGCGGCCGCTGGACTACACCCCAGGGGACAGGAGTGTGTACTCAAACTATGGGACCATGCTTTTGAGCTATATTATCACAAGCATGACAGGCGAGACATATTCCTCGTATATTGAGAAGAATGTACTTGCAGGGCTGGACGTTGAACTCTGGAGCACAGCTGCAGAGTCGCACAAGTCAGATCCCATTGTGCAAGAGACAAAGTTTACGGGTATCTCTGCGCTAGTACCGCTTTCAGATTACAGAGTCTCGAGTGCGAACGGTGGAGACGGGTCGATCAAAGAAGAGGCAATTGGTGCTTTTGGTCTAAAGGCCTCTGCTGCCACAGTTTCTCAGTTTATCGGAAGCAACAATGTGTATGGTCTTGGCGGTCGCGTACCTTGGAACTATCGGGATGGTACCGTGGCTGGTGCACGCGCCATCGCGTACAGTTTGTCTGAACTTGACTGGGCCTTAACATTAAACACTAGAGAATACGTTGACGGGGCGGCGTGGGAGAACTTAGTGTTCACTGATATTCAGGATGTCTGGGGTCGCTTCGCTCTTACTAAGTGAGAGGCATTAATTTCTAGTGTTACTCCTCTTCTACTATCTGTACCTAATAGAAAGTGTTCAATAATTAAATAGAAAGATAGTAAATATTGCCTACTGAAGTCCGTCATACCTACTTACTAATAAAAGGAGTAAAGATCTATAATTATACGTGAGGTTATAAGTACCTAGAAGACGCGCCTTATTATAGTATTAATATTCTTAGATCTAGCGAAGGGTGTTAGGAAAACAGGGTGTCGCGGCTTAGCTAGCGGAACATGAACAAATAACAACGTTTCCTTTCGATTTAGTTGTTTTCTTGATCTTAATAACACACTTAGTTTCGCGCATTGCCTCTCCGACCTTAAGTTGTATTCTACACCACTTGCGCGTCTTTCTCTATGCTACACTTTGCTATTCAAACGTTTGCAGGGATAACTGGCGAAGCTTTGTACATCTTATCAGCTATCTCAATCACGACCAAAGGACTAGCAAACTACTTACGCAAACCAGAAGACCGCGATGTTGGGAGAAGGTTTTCTACCCATGAGAACTCAATATCTATTCTTCCAGTCTTGTTCTCTACACACCAGGTTTCTGGAGAAAATGCGTAACGTGAGCGAACCCAGGAGCCATTATCCGAGGAAGGTTAATCGGTTCACGCTCATCGGACGCTAGTCACATGGATGCGTCTGGACACTAACTTTCTCGAACACGCCACGACTAATTTGCGTATCCTCAACATACTGATCAGTATGTGGCGTCCTGTATCCAAGCTTTTGAGGCAAAGGTATAGTAGTTGCAGGAAGCGTGCTGCTTGTCTTGAACTCGCACAGCCCGAGTGAAGCCCATACAGATAAGCTTTTTCGAATGAGAGGTATCGCTGAAAGAACTGAGTCCAAGGCATACATTCTCATTGAGACAACCTGGATATCATCCGCAAAAGAAGTCTGCTTTTAAGTAGAATTCCTCGAGACATTAATGGTCATTGAGGTGTCGAGATCCCTCACTAACTGACTCGTGGTGAGCTAATGAGAATTGCGGCAGCACCGCGGGAATGGCCATGCCACATTTCGATCCAGATAGCTCTGCATTGAAGTGGTCGCCGGTTGCGTCAAAGTTGACGACTTTCACTAGCCGGCACACCCGCCTGTAACGCCCCTCCCTGGTCAAGATGTATTCCAGATGCCCTCACGAATGGGTCCTTCCCACTGTGACCTGACGAGTCAGTCTCCTCAATTTTGGAAAAAGCGCCAGGGCGATCAGATCTAGTGCTCAAGTGCGTCTTTCTGCTCTGAGTCCATGGACCCAAAGAGAGGGTGTTGTTACCAGGAGTTCCTCTATTGCCAAAAAGGTCTTTGTGCTCCACTATGCTGACGAGTCGGTTAAGGACAGAGAATTCGATTTTGAGTTTGATGCTGTACACAGCTGTCTTGTACGTCGTTTGAATCTCGTAGTTACCGGAGAACTGGACGGCGAGGAGGGTGATGTCGAGGATCAGGACTACGATGTTGACGAAGACAAGGTGTCTGAGTAGCTTCTGCAGGGGCCCGCGGCCGTTGCTGCTAGTGTCGTGGCCCAGCAGCCGTACTGTTTCGTAGATATAGATGATAGATATTATAGTCTCTTGGACGCAGATTACCACGATTTGAACCTTGTCATATATCAAGAATCCCGGTAGGAAACGGGCCGAGTGCTGAGAGTTTGCCCCCATCGCTAAAACGAAAAGGGGGATCCCGAGAACGACAGCGTTGAAGATGATCATGTATAGTACCCAACGTGTCTGAGATCGATCCCGGATGACGAGATGCAGACGCGAATAGAGAACGAGTGATTGTCCCATCACCATACTTGCCCAGCCTATACCCACTATTGCGCTCGATAGCAGGTCTAATGTAGTGACCTGGAAGAACTTGAGGACGAATCCAACGGCATGGGGTGCGATGCCCCAAGTTGCCACGACAAAACTCCAGAAGTATAGCCCATTACGTTTTTGAAGACGCCAAATACCAGAAAAGTAAGTTCGATGACGTTGTAAAGTGCGATGGATAAGAACGCGGCCATGGTCATTAGGATTGGGAGAGGTGCATTCACCCCACCAACCACGCCCACATCCTCCTCATTTGCCATGGCTGGATGCGAAGACCGCGTTATGATTGCGCATGTGATTGTTAGAGCGCAAGGTAGAGAAAGAATTCGCACTGAGAACTAATTGATTGAAAAAACTCGCGTTTAGCAGACTGATATCTGCTACTGAAGGCGATCGAAGGGAGAGGATGAAGGCGAGTGCCGTGTTTCCAAATCGCCTGCATCATCCGCAGCATATTTAGACAACTTTGCTCGCGACACCTGATTTGCTTCAGATGAGCTTTTAAAATTTGTGGCGGATCCTGAGGTGTCTCCCAAAGTGACGATCTCGTCCACCACGGGAGGGCGAAAATGTTCCCCGGCTTGGTTTAAGTTTGTGATAGGCACAGAAAATCGTGCAAGCGCAATGAGCGCACTACTATTGGTTCTATGCAGATATCATGCCTGGGTCCCGGGATTTGTGGCGCCTATACCTGCATGGGTTCACCAGAGGCTTCCAAGGTTCACTTCTTAGCTGTGAGCCGCATGGGTCGCAACCTCGTTTACTAGCACAAACAATGACTCGCATGAACCACTCCTCTTGACAGCTATTTGGATCCTGGTAACGTTGTCACGCTGTTAGCTGACATTGTTCACCGATGGAACGTTAGGCCTGTGCAAATAAAGTTCAACTAGGAATGAGCTGAAGCTCAATCAGTAGGATTGATCGATTGATTCCTACTCGGCTTCAGCCGCATGAGTCCATGCCCGCTGTCATGGGAATGGACGGGCGGGTCGTATGCCAGATCAAGCCTTCCGAAGCCCACACTGATCAGTCCTGGCCTTACTGTCACCGAAGGATCGGAAATGTCCGTCCGAGGTTTCCAGCGCACGGCCAAGTCCCTAACGCTCTGATGGGTGTGATCCTTCACCAGTTTCGAGTTATTCTTGCATAGAGATGCGATTTCGAGTCATTGGGGCATTAGCTGAGTCATATCTCTGTCCGCTTTCGAGTCACCGAAAAAGCAACATCCTAGGGGTTACGCGTATGGACAAGGTTTTCTGGGGTACCGTACCCCAGAGCATCGGCAATAGGGAGCGAATAGCTGGTGTTATTTGTCCCCCGCGCTAGTGCTAGCAGGAGTCATCCCAGTCTAGCGCATACCGTGTCATTGTCCGCCCTTGCACGATCCCCCTCAATACTAGGTACCCTCCACGTCAACCCAACATAACTCTACCGATGAGAGCCTGATTGAAGATGCAGTGAAAGAAACAGAACCGCTGAAGCCGACAGAGCACCTTGGTCACTACGTGATGGCTAACGTCATTTACCACCAAGCTGCGCACCCCACTAAGGTTGCGCATCTGTGCTTGCAAATAGTTTTAACATTGAGTTCGGCCAGTTAGTTTTCGGACACCCAACTTCTCCGCCACCCTACCACAACTGCCACCCACTTTTGAAGCTTTACAGCTCAATCACAACGCTATCAATCGATTACTGTGAAGTTGCAATGCAAAACGCTATCCGGAATCTTGATCTTAGTCTCTTTACGAGCCAGCGACAAGCCTGTTGGGCGTGTGGCGCACCGCGGTCAACGCTGCAGAGCCGGCTCGCTGATCGTGATCCACACGCGATAGTCCACAACAACAAGTGCGATTAAATCTGGAACAAGAGGAGTTTCTTGTTGACTGAATCCTTAACGAAGACCTACGCGATTAACCACCTGGCCACAGTTGTCTACGAGAGATAGCGATGCGTATCCTCCACATGAGCGGCGATGACGCTCCCCTCGGGCATAATTGGGCAGCCAACTTCTTACACCGCAACTCACGCGTGCACTCCGTCGCCGAGTAATCGAATGAAGCTTCGAACGCGGAGTTAGCCGATCCAGAGTTGATTCGCATGTTCATCGGCGTCGTTGAACAGAGAAGACGCCACCTGTGTACCTTTATGGAGCTTTTACTCTTCTGCCATGAGCGACGCCAGCTTAGCTGAGAAGGACGCGAGATTGAAACGCTGGGCGTTCTTCATTCAATTAACTCTTACTCCGGTAATACCACAGAATTGACCAGGTTTCGTCTAGCTTAGTGGGCTTGCCTCTGAGCCGCTTCTAATAGTTGGTACGAGCTTCTTGAATTGCTCACAATCCTCATGGTTCCGAAATCTGTCAAATGTTGATAGGGAACTCCGCGCTGGCCCTTTCGACCATGTGCGTCAGCTCTTCCAAGACCGGTCAAATACCAATGGGAACGGGAGTGCATGTCGTTGTGGTATGATCGAGCATTGATAGCTCGACTGAATACAAACATTAGCGCGACCTTACCTTCACAATCACCTGAACCCTTCAGTACATGTATGTATCAAGAGCTATGTATTGACTCTAACTAACGTCACTACTATAACCTAGTACTTCTACAATTACATTTATAGTAGTACTTAGAGACCATAACGCGACCAAACCCCACCCGATAATCTTGTCCATTCTCCACTTGCGCATCGGTACGGCAACAAGAAGCCCAGCGAGTGTTACAAGCAGAGTCGCTCCTGATATCACCAAGGTTGTGCTCACAGCGATATGGTAGGGTCTGAAATGAACCGACTGATCTGGGTGTTTTTCATGGCGGTGCTCGCCCTTGGTGATGATCATGTAGCATCCGCTCAACCCTACGCCGAGTAGGATGTTCAGCATCGGGCCGCCAAAGCAGGCCGAGAGGGCCATGATAGGGAATCCGAGCCGTGCAACGGTAATGTCGGCGACGAGATCACCAAGTGAATTGCCAACCGCGAAGATGGTCAGACCGAGAATGGCGTCGGACATGTTGAGGATAACACCCAGGGTGCGCAGAACACCAACGACTTCGTTGGCAATGGTGCTGATCCAAGCAATGGCGACGGCAAACCCGAGAAAGCAGAGTGCTGAGCGCCAATTTGGCGCGCGGTTTGGCGTGGTGGTGAAGAGGATAAAGGCAAGGACGCTGAGCGAGACGACCAGAGCGTAGAGCGTGTGACGAAGCAAAACACGTGGGTTGTCGGGTTCAATGTTTGCCCAGAGGACAAGGACGAGGAAGAAGGGGGCTGTAAACACTTGCACGATCACCAGCCAGCGGTTCCATTGTCTTGGCTCGATAGGTGTAGGAATCGTGGGAAGTTGCTCGGGTGATTGCGCCACAGTGTCGGAATCCGTAATGTACACCTGCGGTGGCGGTTGGCTGGTGGTCGTGCTGAACGATCCACCATTGGGTTGTCGAGAAGGAAGACTTGTGGACAGTTTCGACTTTGATAAGCCCATGTCAGCAGGTGTTTCTAGTGGTAAAACGAGTGACACGCTGCGAGTATGCGAGTCCATGCTTCCACTATGCGGCGTAGCCGCAGGTGGTAGACCGAAATCTAAAGAAAGCTCCGCCTGACCTCCATCGTTCTCATCCTTTTGCGGCTCGACAACTGGGAGCGTAATGGTAAGCAAGAAGACAGGTAGACTTGCAACAAGTCCCAAAAGTTTGTCGAAAATATTCTTGTCCGACCAATTGGTCAATGTCGGGAACAGAGTGGAAACCAGAACGTATGGAGTCGGTAGAAGGCTTGAGGGCCACCATTTTGGCATTCTGGCTGCTTCGACATGACCGAAAGGATCTCGTGGGAAGTAGGTAGACTCGGGTGACGCGCTCGGCGAAGGCAGACGTAGACTCTGGGGTCTAGAAACGGATTGCGCCGACCAAGGATAATCGGTATAAGGCGGAAATGGTATCGGCGGAGAAGTGGCATCCGGTACAGTCAGCTTCAAACTAGGTGGTTGAGGACGAGCATCGGGTTCTGTTACTGGACTCGAGCGGGGGCTTGGTGATGATGTGACTGCACGGAGGGGAGCCTGGTCCTCGGAGCCTGGGGGCGCCAGCCTGTTAGGTGAGGGAAGCCTGTCTCTCGGTGCGGCAGGACTTGGTGCTCTGGAAGAGCGGGAAGCTGGCGGAGACAACGAGATGGTCGGCGACGGAGGCGCTTCCAGCAGTCTGTTGGGTTTGTTGGGAGTGGCGGATGCAAAGGTAATGTCAGGTACGCCATGTCCCTGCAGCGTGCTTGACTGTAGTCGGACATTGTCAATGTCGTTTGTGGAAACAGCTCGCGCTCGATTGCCTAGGCTCTGCTGGATGTCGAGATTTGGTCGGGTCACATGCAGCGAGGCGTTGGAAGCAGTTGGGTTCACATGGAATGGAGGTCGATTCGCGGGACCTGCTGTTTGTGAGATGTAGTTTTGCTGTTGGGCAGTCGTATAGGTAGGGTCGTCAGAATATCGTCGCAAGCTGATTGGCATGGACTGGATGTTGCGCGACTTTTGCAGGGAGGAGAGTACCGCTCTAAACTCCAAGGCTCCCACCAAACTCGGACGGATGGGTGTGTGAGTATTGCGCCTCGACATGCTTGGGCGATTGACGCGCATATTGTTGGTCAACTCGCCCATCCAGCGTTCGCGCTCTTCCTCATTGTCATCGTCATCTATGATATTGTCGCCGCCTGCGCGTTCAAGCATGGAAAAGTCGTCAATGGATACGCCGTAGCCTGGGGTCCTGCTACCAGCGCTAATTTCATCGTCATGGTATTCTGGAAATTCCTCCTCTTCGCCGCCGGGCGTGACATAGTGGCTCCTGATGGCGGCCGCCCTCGCCCGTCGCGCCTTTCTCAAGTTGAGCCACCAGTGCCAGCCCACAACGAAGGCGACGTAGAAGAGATAAAAGGCTACCATGGTGACAGACTCCCACAGATGCAGTTTCCCGTCAACGATGAAGCCCATGCTGAAGGCCGCTGCAATGAGAAAGAAACCAACATCGCGAACAAAACTCTTGCGCGCGACTTGAAAGGGGCGAATTAGAGCCATGGAGCCCGAGACCACAGCCGTGATGAAACATGCAGCACCGATGAGCTCGCCTACGGCCAGACTTGCAGCGTGGGTGCGGAAGGCGGCAAATGTGGAGAAGACGTCGGGGCTGCCATTGCCAAAGGCGAGCAGTGTGACGCCGGCCAAGCTCTCGCTCATGCCCAGCATGCGCGCAATGGTATTGAGGTTAACGCAGAAGAAGTCGCTCGCGGCGATGCCAATGGTGCTGAAGAGGAGCGCGAGCCAGAGTGTCATGAGGACGAAGGCAACGGGTTTCGCATGCGGGAGACGGCAGTAGTAAAGGGTCAGGTAGGATATGACGCCGGCTTCTTCATCGGGGCAGTTTGCGCGCACAAAGGCGCATTGGTCTGTGGCGCGGTGAACAAGGCGGCACTCTTCGTCCTTGATGGACAAGTCCCTCTTGTGTACCGCGCCACCAAGGGCGCTGCCGTGGGTAACTTGCGACCTGGCCCATGCTAGCAGTGATATGAGGGAGATGGCGAGGATGGTGAGGGCGAAGGGTCGTGCCGAGTAACGTGAGCGGCGCAATCGTTGGGCATGTTTAAGTATGGTGGAGTCGTCCATGGTCACGACATGTTCTCAGGTGAGTCGGAGGGACCGCGCGATGGGGGATGAGGGCGTGTTTTAGGTGATGGGAAGCGTGAAGGCGGCGACGTGCGATAGCGTAACAAGATAGCGGAAGACGGCGCGCGAAGCGTTTGGACTGAGTCGGCTGGGGCGCGACAGCAATGCGTGCGTGTGTGGCGGTGTTGGCGATGTTGCGAAATAACGAACGTCATCGGAGCATGGTAGCGATAGTTGGAGATAGAGGCCGGATCTTGCAAGTTGGAGCAGAGGGCAGCGCGGAGCCTTCCAAGTACCGGGATTGTGAATGACGGTATTCGATGAGATAGCACCAGTGTGGCGCATGTGTGGCTGTGCGAGTGGGTGGCGCTGTGCTAATAGGTGGGTTTAGGGTGCGGTATGCGGTATGGGTTCAGTCGGAATACGTATGTACCTTTGACAGCTAGAGGCTTTCTAGGCTGTTAGCCGTTTCTGCAGGACAGTAGTCTCCGACACCAAAAGTGAGACACTTGTTAGCTACAAAGCCGGACTTAGTAGAGTCGTAGTGCGCTAACCCCCGCGCGGATTCGCCCAAACAAACAACAACGCTCCATCACGAACACACACACACAATCAGCCAACCCACCATGGCGCGCACTACCAAGTACAATACCGCCGCCTCGCCGCAGAAGACACCCATCAAGTAGGCCAAACAAGTCAGTTGACGCGCATCGCAAGGCTAACCATTTCCACCCAGGGTGCCGCTCAACGATGACCGACAAGAGAAGGCCATCCGCCGCCATGCGCAACAAGAAGCCCAGCGCAACTCGATGCGCGCCTCGACTGCTACTGCCACACCCGGAAGACGACGCATATCGCATGCCGCCGGCCACGATAGCCCCCACACCCCGTCGCAAGACCAAGACGACATGCCAGACATCACCGGCACCGCCGTCACGCCAGGAAACCGCGTCATGCCCTTGCTGGCCAACTTCGAGGAGTGGATGAAGATGGCGACGGACAACGTAGGCATACACGGCTGCACGCACTAGGTCGAGGCTGATGTGACGGGCAGAAAATCAACGCAAACAACTCATGGAACTTCGCCCTCATCGATTACTTCCACGAAATGTCTCTGCTCAAGGAAGGCGATGGCGTCAACTTCCAAAAGGCGAGCTGCACATTGGACGGCTGCGTCAAGATCTACACCAGCAGGGTCGATAGCGTAGCAACCGACACGGGCAAGCTCCTCAGCGGACTTGCAGAGAATGCGGGCAAGAAGCGGAGAGGAGACGGCGATGATGCTGACGGAGCCGATGATGACGACGCCGAGGGCGACGACGCCGAGGACGGAGAGGGTGGCCAGAAGAAGCGCAAGAAGAGGGCTGCCCGGTCTGCCGAAGCCACGCTCGCATCCTCGTTTGGACAACTACAGAACAAGAAGATGGAGCTCGAGTTTTCGGTAGATCCCCTCTTCAAGAAAGCCTCCGCCGACTTTGATGAGGGCGGAGCAAAAGGTCTCCTTCTTAATCACCTGGCCATAGACGCAAGGGGCAGAATCGTCTTTGACAGCAGCGACGATGCGAACGATGCAACCTCCGAAGACACTCGTGCTACACCAGCGCCCGAAGACGCCCATGTACAGCAAGACCAGTCCCAGCCACCCGACGCTATTGATGTTGATATATCTGGCCTGGCTGCCAAGTACTTCCCTGATCTGTCCCAGCTCGACCGGCAAGACGTGTGTCCCTCGATGAAGACGTTCGATCTTGGCGATGTAAATGGCTCTATGGATCTTCCCTTTCTAAAGGCCCCTGATGACTCTGCCAATGAAGATGGTGCCAAGGGCGAAGAAGAGGACGATGCGGGTAACCGATCAGGCCTCTTTCTTGATGACGACAACCCCATGGGCTTCGATGATGACGACGACATGAACATGGGCGGATTCGATCTACCTCCGGAAACGGGTTTTGGCGAAGGTGGAGAGGTCTGGGCTCGTGAGGCTATCCAGAATCCACAGGCTCGCGTTCACACCATGGGCCTCGAAGGTGATGAGAATACAGACAGTGCTGATGCTGCCCTTGGTGCTGATGCTCAGTATGGCGTCTCTATGATGCACGGTCGTGATCAAGAACAAGAAAACATTCTAAGCTATTTCGACCAAGCTCTTAAGAAGAGCTGGGCAGGGCCTGAGCATTGGCGTATCTCACGAGTCAAGCATTCTGCAAAGGCAGCACCAGCCACGAAACGGAAAGAGAGGGAGCCTTTCGAGATTGACTTCGCCGCACCCATGTCGCAGACACTAGCAGACATGCTCTACACGCCTGCAACATCCAACTCAACCATATCTCTACCAAAAGCGCAGTGGAAGTCAAAGTCGCGCAATCTTCTCCCAGATGACAAGCACTTCAACTCGAAACAACTACTGCGACTTTTCTTGAAACCAAAAGCCCGTATGGGCTCACGGAAGGGAGGACGCCGTGTACAGGCACAACCCGGAGACCCCGCACGCGTCGACGAAGCATACTGGGCTGATCAAGGTCGAGAAGGCGAGGGTGATGATGTACAGGGCAACTACGACGCCGACTTTTTCCAAGACGATGGACTGCCTATGCCTGGTGGGCCTATTGATGATGAGGACGTTTTTGCGGATGCTCGTGACCACTTTTCGCCGCCGCCCGACGCACCCGAAGCTACACTACCTCTAGACGGCATGCCACCTAGCTCGCAGACGGATGCGTTTGGTGCACAGTTAGTAACACAAAGCCGACGGTTCCGGCCCGAATACGTTCAGTATGCAAGGGTTGCGAAGAAGGTAGATGTTAAGAGATTAAAGGACGAGCTTTGGAAAGGTATTGGATTTGAAGGCGTAAGTTATATATTCAATCCTCGTCATTCGGTCTACAAGCTTACAAACAATTAGATTTCCGCACCTCCGCAACCTAATGTCTCCGACGATCCAGCAAATAAAGCTGTTGATGGTTCGCTAACTTTTACCGACGTTGTCAACAGCTTGCAGGCTGTGTATCCGAAACAAACAATGGCCGACATCTCAACAAGTTACTGCTTCATCTGCTTGCTGCATCTCGCTAACGAACAAGGTCTGGTCATCGAGAACCAGGAGGATTTCGAAAACTTGACCATACGGAAAGACTTCACAGCGGAGTTGGATGTAGGAGGAGCATGAGGTTTCGTCTTGTTGGATCAGTCCACAATCAGAGCTCAGACTACCAATGAAACCAATATAATATTACTACTGTCGCGATTCTAGTTTCGTGGGCTGCATGGTTCGTGGCAAACGAGTACCTAGAAGCATCGCTGAGTGGATACTTTCCCAGCGGATAACTCTAGTCGAGGACAGGAACGAAAAGTACTATGATCCTAAAGCTAGAGACGATCATGCTTCTAACAACGGCGTTAATAAGGGCAAAGGGTTAGACGCTACCGACTTGGAAGAACATGAACGGGCCACGTACGTTTCTAATGCCTCTAGAGACCCACGTGTCATTGTGAAGAGATTTTTCGCATATCGCGACGCCTGTCCTAAAGCTCATATAACCGCCCGTTATCTTTTCTTTTTACCTCGTCATTGATCACTTTAAATATCCGGGTTGATAGAGTACTTTGGATTCGACCTGCGAGATTTAGATTATGGCGACAATGGCCGTCTTTGGTCCCTTGGGAAAAATTCATCGCTGACGATTCCAACATAACCGCCCATTGAAAGAATAGACGGCGTTCGCGAATGCATGAGCGCCAACCTTCGCCATCTTCCTTTCTCCGTCCACTGTTCGGATGCCGACAAGCCGAACCTCTGGGTGGAGATCGTTTATCAGCTCCTCTCAATCTGCAGCAATGTCACAATGATTATCATGATTGAGGCGTGGATGGCGGAAAATCAACGGTTTTCGGAAGAATTCCCTGATGTCTCAGAGCAGGAGACTAAAGGCAAGAATGGTGTTGCGTGGAGGAAGATCTAACTGCGACAAAGGGATCTAGCACCAGATCGATTTACAATGGTGGCAAAGACAGATTTCCATGGGACCGAGGTGCTGTAAGAAGACGTTGAACGATCGAAAAAGAAAGAAGCGATTTTAAATCGTGGGAAAAGCCTGCGCAGAAAGGTCTCCGAAATGGAGAGTAATGAACAATAAAGAACGGATGGAAGGTAATTGAAGATGACTCTTGCGATCGATAAACGCTTGCTCTTCTTATTCTACAACGTCATCAGTTCCCTTTCCTCTTTACTGCCAGAGCAATGTGATCTTCTTCCACCATGGTCCTTTCACCGTTCTTGCCGGCACCTCTTCAGCGAGCACCTGATCCAAACCCGTCTTCATATCCACCTCCTCAGGAGCGTAAGCCCAGGTATCGCTCCAGGCCCAGATTCGGTGTCCTCCATAGAACAAGAAGAACATGGGAATACCAACGTATGCAGTGAAGAAGGAGCTAACATCCCATTTCTCGGGCCAAAAGACATCAAACCCATTGATCAAACAGAGAAAGGTGAAGCTGATGATGACGCACCAAGCACCCCACTTGTTTACTGGTGAGCGATATGGCAGATCGGTAATATTTTGCGCTTCGCAGGCTTTCCGGAAACGCAAAAAGATGATGCCGCAGCAGATCCAGGAGATGAAGCCAGACGTGTTTGTCAGGTTGACGAACCAATTAAAGACGACGGCGCTCTCGCTGCCTACATTCAGGTAGGCCAGAGCGCAGAATAGCGAAGAGGCTGTAACAGCCCAGTACGGCACACCAGACTTGGTGCATGATTTGAAAATGGAAGGCGCATTGCCAGAAAGTGCGAGCGCGTATAGGGAGCGCGACGAGAGGAACAGGAAGGAGTTTCCTGATGACCAGGCACTGATGATGATACCGGCGTTGATGATGCTGTCGAGTACGGGAATTCCTGCGTTCTTAATTCCTGCGACAAAGGGAGACGATCCGGCACCAGAACCACCAGAGGTAATGATGGAGTCGTTCGAGGGGCAGATGACACCGATGGCAAGTACGCTGCCGACGTAGAAGATCACAAGACGGTAGATGTATCGGCGTGCCGCAGTAGGCAGGTTCCGACGTGGTGACTGCATTTCGCCACCTGTTGCTACAAGAAGCTCCGGGGCAAACGTGAATGGAAACTAGGATAGAGGTTAGTGAAACTGACTCGAGGCTACAAGAGCAGCATGCTTACAGCAGAAAGCACCATAGTAGATAGCAGTGCCACCAGACGCCCAGCATTACCCTCTTCTAGATACGTATTTGCCGCGCCAGGGTTCTTCCAGTACCTGAAGCCGAGACGATCGTGCTGTGGTCCACCGCCCCAGAACAAGATGAAGGATAGGATAAGCAGTCCTACAATCATGACGACCTTTGTTCCAGCGAACCAGAACTCCGTTTCGCCGTAGAACTTGACTGGAAAGCAGTTCAGCCCCACGATGACGATGATCATGATCGTAATCCACACTGCGATGTTCACGGGTGGGTTCCAATACTCAATAACTAATCCAGCTGCCGTGATCTCGTAGGGTACAAGAATGCCGAGAGAGTAAAAGTATAGCCAGCCTAGTCCAAAGCCCATCGAGCGGGAGACATAGCGGTATCCGAAGAGGTTCATAGAAGACCCGGGAGTTGGAAGATAGGCGGCGACTTCGATGATACCTGCAACGGTACAGAAGATCAAGAAGGACATGGCGATATATGTGGATAGGATAAAGGCTGGGCCGCCGCGAGCGAGGGTTTGGCCTGAACCAACAAAGAGACCAGTTCCTATCGTGCCGCCCAAAGCAATCATTTGGGCATGTCTGCTTTGCATTAATCTTCCAAACTAAATAACACGGAACAAGATCGACTCACCGTGACTTCAGACCTCGCTGTGTGGTCTCATAACGCTCATCGAATATCTCTCCTGCAATAATGGCCGGATCAACAGCAGAGCTCTTCCTACGACTCGCTGTATGCGAATGTCGCACATGGCCAATGCCATAGTCTACATGCTGTTCTCCGATAGTTGACTCCTCAGTCTTCTTCTCAGACATATTAGCGTTTCCAACTACTGCGTTGAGGATCAGTTTTCGACGTTACAGAGTATTAACAGTACGCCAGGGGATCCAATGCGTGGAGACGCAGGGTTTATGAACACATTTGGTGTACATGCAGTGTAGATTGAGACCATCCATGTGGTAGGCTCAAGCGACCCTTGTCAGCATGCCATGGCCGATAGTCGTGCAACCTAAGGAAGGCTTGTCCCGCTAACGTTCCTAGTATCCACACGACCGCACCAAAGTCAGGCAAGATAGGATCCAGTCGCAATGCCGATATGGTCTTCTCCAGCCGCTCACATCAGGTTGTGAACGGAGGTTCGGCGGAATGAGTCGAGACCGGCGAGGGTTGAAGATAGGCGCCGATAAGCACAATGGCAAGCGATTGCAAAAGCTGATAAGCTTATTGACATACGCTATAGAGGAGAGCTAGACCACTTGGATAGATTTTCGGAGTTATTCGTCTATCTGCGGTAGTGTTGCGTGCGGCATCGTTGTGGCCTGACGTGTGCGGATATGCTGTGTAGTTCTAGGAAGCGCGGCAACTACGATGCTGGCAACGGAGTGTGCTTGGTGCAATTCTCCGTAGATGCACGAGGCCGGGGTTTGAGATACCGGGAGTGGTGATGCACGAAGAATATCCACTAAGACGGCGCGTTGTTATCGCAATTCTCCGAACAACGCAATCTGAACTCAGTCGGGATTAGCCCCCGGCCTAACTAGAGCAGGTGGCGGCGGCGATGTCTTCTGCATGGACTTGCTTTCTCTCGTCAATTTCTCGCAACGGTCATAGTTGATGGCTGAGAGTCTGATTGCTATTCAGAACAAACTCTAAAATCCGTCGTCACCTTTGTCGTGATTCGACTTCAAGATCACCGCTGCCAAGGTACTACTCATGACCAAATTCTAGTGTACATAATCACATGCGTGAATAGACCAGGCTTCGACATTCACCATCTTAGACGACTTCAAAGACAGCATATCGCCCTACCTCAAAGATCTTCATACCACATTCACAGTGGTATTTCCCTCTCTTCCCGTCAATCAACAGAACCTGCCTCTTTAGTCCACTAAACCACTCTATTTTAATTGCAGTCCGCCAGGTGAGACCGCACCCGTGTCCGAGGCATACATAGTCGTAGGACGTGGAGCTATTCGGAGGTATACTGAGGACTTGGGCGTGACCAGACACTGTAGGTTGAGTGCTTAGGTTATGGATGGTAATAGTTTGCGATGTGATGTCAAGCTTGATGTTGTTATGCCAGGTCGAGGAACATACACGACACGACATGAATCCGAGTGGATGCAGCGCGGGCGAACGGAGATAATAAATTGCGTTCCTGTGGCCGCAGATGCATTTCCAGGATCCGATGTGATCTGGTGCACCTTGTTCAGCTTCGAGAATCTGGGCCTTTGTCTTATCAAGCTTAGAAGGAAGGTGTAGTAGTGCGCGGATTCGGCCAACAAGTGACAGCTCTGAGGACATAGTAACGGGCTGGAATAGGCTGGAAGATGAACAGGGGGTGTAGCAGGTTACATGGTCTTATAGTGGTCGAGATTGCAAGGCGACGAGACAGATGGGTATGTTTGAGACCTCTGTGATCAAGGCAGCCCGAGTGACCACATCGTATTCTTGTAAGACCATGACTCACCTGATAGTGCGCCCGGGTGTCTCTGAACTACTATGCATATCTCACTGTGCTGCTTGAACCCCACTGACAGCCTCATGGCTTCACCATGTCAACTCTTTCTGCGGCCTCTGAACCATGCCTGGAGGTACACAGCCCCACGAGCACACGCTAACTTTCAACGGAAGGAATTCGCCTCCTCGACTCCAGAACTCTACCCACTCCGCGCGTGCCACAACATACTCTTTATGACAGGTATGACACTTGCGGAACATACCATATCCATCAGCAGCATTCTCTTGTGCTCGCGAGAGGATAGCTTCCACGACGGGGAAGAAATCTTCGAGGTACGCACGGATGTTGCCGATACTCGCAGATTTGAGCTCCCTATGCAAGCTAGCTGTGACCAAGGAGGGCACTTTGCTTGTAGACGGAGGGGCGAACCAAGGTGAAGAAGGAACACCGTATGTGCCCTGATTCGTTTCGATGATGATGGGATATGTCTCTTCGTTGGAGCAAGGAAGCCGTGGAGATGCCTTGAGGAGGCTGCCATTTTGCTCATAGTACGATACTAGTGTCCTGGCGATGTACCGTGGTGCGTGGGATAGAACTTGACTATCATTCGTAGCCTCCAAGGGCAAGCAAGGGTGATGCGGATAGAATCCAACGTCTTGTTCAACACTGCATTCCCGGGCATTATCTCCACCATCAAAGGAGTTTGCCCAGGACTCGAAATACCGGATGCGCCAGACTGCTTGGTCGCGGTCTTTACACGTCGCCAGAGTCTGGTACAGGTGCGCAAGTTGGTTGCTTGCGTCTTCTCGTACCTCATCGAGTGGCAGCGAGTCCATGTGATGAAGGGACCCTTGCTCTTGCTTCTGGTAGTCGGTCGTGTAGAATCTACGAGAAGGCATTGGCTGAAGCAGATCTTTGCCCATGAGAGTGAGGCGGCTCATGTTCCCATGTGGAGAAAGAAGCGTGATGACGTCGAAGGGGAGGTACTTGAGCTTGTTGAGAGATACGTCTAGCGTTTCAAGTTTTCTTAAGCAGCTGATTTGTTGCGGAAGCTCTTCAATCTCGTTTTGACGCAGATACAGACCAGTGAGATGCTCGAGGTCGAACAGAGACGGAACGAGTCGACGGAGCTTGTTCTTACTGAGGTGGATTTGAAGTTTAGGGAGGAGAGATCGGTACTGTCCTGCCGTGGGAAGCTCAGTGTCGTGGACCGGAGGATCACTAATGACGGTTTTGAGGTTGCCAATGTGCCTGATGTCACTGTCCTCGAGGTTCTGGCCATCGAAATCGTACGACTCTTGGTTCCTCGCGATACCATGGTCCATCTGCTCGTTGAAGGCACGTTCTGCTGTCGGGTGGCTATTGGTGTCGATAACTATCTCTTCCTCATTGGTAACATTTGTGTTGATGGCGCGTTTGGTCGGCATCTTGCTCCTCAGGTTGTAGGGCGACACGTACGGGGGTGGAGGTAGTTCTCCGGAACTGTTACTCGCATCACTGAGCATGTAGATGCCAGAGTCGAAGTTGCGCTCAAATTTTGTCTTCTTCACCTCGGGGCTGGTGTGGGCCGATTCGCGGCTGTCCCACCATGCGCCCTTGCGCTTGTTCTTGTAAATACGCGGAGACTCGTAGTTGGTCACGTCGACGGATTCGCGAGAGTCGTCGCTGGAGAAGACAGGGGGAGGTGAGCTCGATTTCGTGGTGAAGGCGGTATGTTGCCGCTCGAAGAAGGGGTTGGGCGGGAAGTCCATGGTGCACGCGAGCGGTGGTGAGGAGGGGGGCGCTTCATCGTAGTCCATGGCGAAGTTGGCTTTTTCGAAGAACAATTGAGCAGAGGAAACAGACGGTCGATTCTTTGGTGTGTCGAGATGCTAGTAGCGCAAAAGAGAGATGATGGCTGGGAGACGCGTTCTGGCCAGCCACAACGCGTTGTAGAAGTGTGAGTTGGGGCGAACCAGGGTCCCGCCTCCCGTCATCGACGGCGCACAGACAGCGTTCCCCACGTGCATTGTGCATAAAGCCTAACCAGTGCATTGTGTCAACTACCCAAGGATGCAAACATTCAAGGCAGTGCGCATATCAGTTCTAGAGCTCCGCCATGCGTCTGATGGCCAAGTTGGATACAAGTCGTCCCTCCATACCAATGTCTGCCCCTTCTAGTGGCTCGCCTTTGGACATGGCCAACTCTGTCATGACTCTACCCATCTCCTTCGCTGGCGTCATCATAGCCTTGTAGAACAGATTCATTGGTGGTATCAGCATCTTCTTGTACATTGCCTGCGGCGGTATGAACGGGTGGATCGCCATGTGTTTTGTCCAATCCACGCCGCCGGGTCGTACGTTATACACCCTGAACATGGGGTTCAATCTACCCAAGTCGACAAGCTCCGACTCGACCTGCCCTTTGACTCGTGCGTATAGACTTGTGAAGGTGCCTGGCGACTGCGTAGCGCCCTCGCCGGAGACATGGAGAAACGTAAAGGGCGAATCTGGGTGGATTGTAGAAAAGGCACGCGCGGCAGCCATGGCGTAATCGTGGGTTATTTTGAGATATTCCCTAAGAAAAAGTGTTAGCATGAGGCTACATAACCTTTTCTATGAAATGACTTACTCCTTGCTGACGTCGTTCTGCGATACGCCCAAAGCCCAGACACAACCTTGTGCATCCTTCAGTTCGTCCAAGAGAGCTTTGTCGTAGACTTTGAAGTCTGTATGGATGATGACTTTCGCCTTGACATGTCCTTCGGCCATCTTGACAGGTCGTCTGCTAAGGATTGATATGCGACTAATGCTCTCTTGCGCGAGCATGTTGTGGAGCACAGATGCGCCTACCAGCCCCGTCGCGCCTGTAAGTATGAGATGCATGGTAGCTGCGGTTCTTCGTTGATTCCGCTGTTTTGCCGCTACATCTGGGACCAAGTTCGACCTGTCCCACAGCTTCGAAATCATCTACTGTGTTTATCTGCGTGCTTAAATGTAAGCGCTACCATCATGATCAGTTGTGATTAACGGGCGTAATATCCTCCAATGGCAACGGTGGAAGCTCCGTGCAGCAGTTGGCAGCCATGGAGATAATAGCGAATTCGATTGGGTAGCTCTGCGGTGTTCGATGCAGCCCCGACAATTGTCCGTCCCTGCCCGTGACACGGAAGGCTAACGCGCTTGACTAAGCTCGAGGTTTCCAAGCTTCACAAAGAGACCGTCGAGTGACATAGCACACAGAACTCCTTCCCTTGGAACCTCCAAAACACGCCTCCCTATTGACATGGGAATTATATCATTTACAATTGCGTTTCAAGGTACGCGCAATGACAGGCTCACAGGCTTCCGCGGCCCCTGGCGATCAGCCGTGGCGAGCCTACGGGATTTCGCTTTGCCCGGCGGCGAGAAAAGTGACCAGGTCCAAAGCAGGATGACTGTCTGCCCACAGCCTGTGCCGCGATAGCTAAGTATCCTCGCGCTCTCTCCACTCACTTTCTTCTCCGTTGCTTCATTCCTTTGAGTCGCTCTTTTGCTGCTTTTTTTTTCGTTCGTCTGAACCTCGTGCAGCCATGGCAGCCGCAGCCATGGCTACCGCGGACCCTCGCATTGTTTCCCTGGTCCTGCACCATTTATCCAACATGAAGTACAAGGATCGCAGACAGCAGGGACCCGATCAACCTGTTGAACTTCTCGAATTTCGGCCCACACTGGTACCTTCGATTCTGGTCAATAAACTTTGGGCAGACCAAGGCACAGCTATCCTGTGGAGACGCTATCCGCACCTTCCCGCTCTGCAGAAAATGATCTTCAACCGAAGGCAATGGTACGCGAACAAAGTCGAAAGGCTGTTCGTCTTGGGTCCCACAGACGATAGTGGAGATCTTGCATATCTAGAGGGCTTATGCTGGCCGGACCTCAAGATACTGGAGCTGGAGGTGGACTGGAAGAGACATGCGAAAGCAATCAACGCCATGCTACACCCAGGCCTTGGGCAACTGGAATTCCTTGGATCCCAAACTGGTGACTCACGTTACGTCGCTGGCACTGTTCTTCCCGCCTTGTTCGCACCATGTACCAACCTTGCTAGCATTACCTTTGGTTCAGATGCTCTTTGTCCTGAAGACCCTGTGTCTTATCGAGAATTGATTGATCTACTCGACGCTGTGCCCAGCATTACGAATGTTCGATTGATGAATGCTAGCTTTTCCAACAAGGATATGCTTTTCAGACTCTTAAGTCGCCGGCCAGGCCTGAAAGCTCTTCACATCGACCTCGATCCGGACTTGCAATTATTGCCGTACTTCTCGGGCCCCAACGCGCTTGTTTCCCCATTTTCCTCTTTGAGGCAACTCCAACTCATGTGCTATCCCGAGCTGGCCGTCACACTCCTACCGCACCTGCCGCTTGTAGAACAAATACAACTAGACATAGCTAGAATACCAGAGCGACCACCGCAGGACTGGGACATGAATATCCTTGATCATATCCTGGCTCAGTTGGCACAGTGCAGTGGGCTCCGGTCATTACGAGTCAACATCGGTGCACTCGCGCTCAACTTTCCATCGGCCGCATCGCACCCGCTCCTTCATGGTACGGCTTTAGTGGAACTTGCCAAAGGCTGTCCCAAGTTGGAAAATATCAACCTTCTCGCCTCGGAACCTAGTGCAATAGATGGGTCTATGATCTCGAGTCTTCACTTCGAGGCATTTTGTAGGAAATTGCCGCAGCTTTTGAGTCTCAATATCAAGCTCCATCCACAAAGCGCAATCGATCTGGAGGCTACCGCGCTAGCGAGTCTCGGAAAGAACTGCCCTCTGCTTGAAACTTTGCGCCTGAAAGTTTCACTACATCTCCCAGATCTACAGATACTACGTAATCATTCGCCTCCAGAAGCCGTCGAGACGCCGCTCAACGATCGCTCTCAAACCCTCGACACACTCTGTACTCCGGCCATTACTCTCAACGGCCATGAACGGGGCGCTTCCGTGGAACTAGAAGATCTAACCGGTACTGGAACTTCTGACGGCCCGCTCTTCCCATTCCTGACGCATGTTGCCTTCGCACGTCCTCAATCTATCCTCTCGATTGTTAGTGACACATACACCGTTTCATCTAACTCGCAATGTAGCTCCGTGGTCGATCCACTCGTTGAAGAAGAGCTTGTCCGGTCATGGGCACAACCGCTAGGAGCACATTTCCCTCGTTTAGAGATACTAGAAGCATGGAGTGACTGGACGGGACAGGATAACGAGTCACTGAGTTATTTTCTACCGCACGAGGAGCTACTGGCGAGTGTTTGGGACTTTTTGAGTGGAGTCGAGCAAGACCTTTGGGAAGACCCAGAAGATGCAGAAGAAGAAGAAGAAGTGAACAACGAACCGGATTGGGCTGAATATCGTAAGGAGCGATTCAGTATGGACAGCTACATCAGTGGAGATTGGGAGCTCGCCAGCCTCGTGAATGAATTCCCGGCAGAAGAGGATTTTAACAAGAGCGCATATTCAGACACATACAACGAAGAGCCAGAAGGCATGGTCACACCGGGAAGAAACATAGACGATGGTCAAGAATCATATTTTGGTCGTGCAAATACGAAGTACATTACTGCTTCTGGGTCGTCAGCAGTTGTTGTCGTACCGCATGCGGCAACACATTGAACGGCAGAGGCTCCGCACACAATACCAACCATCTTTCATACGCATACCAGCCATTTTTCATACGCATACCAACCATGGCAGTACTTTAACTATATTTTTTTACATATACGACTACACGACAAACGTATGATTTGATTCTCAAGACATGATTTCACGCAAGATAGAGATAAGGTATTTAGGCCAGCACACGCGGCGTGTACTACGTTCGATATCAATCCCCTTTGTCTCAAAGCCTGTACCATGTATCCTCTTCCCAAGAGCATTGCACATTGTATATAGAGTAGCTATTCGTTTCTACAGATCATAAGTCTGCCCTTGACGGTCCAGTAATACAAGGCACTTACACCTCATTGCTTTTCGACTTCTGGAATTTCGATGAAGTCCTGCCCTAGTCATCCGATTGTCAACTCCCTGTCGTCTTCAAACGCGCATTCAGATCACTAAAAGCCGCCCATCGATCAACAACTGCGACTCACCACCACCCTTGTCCGGACACGTGAAGTGCGTCTCCAATTGATCCGGGCCCGAGCGTGTAGCTGTAGCAGGTACGCCCACGGTCCAGTTAAAACCATCACACCTCCGCGCTCGACCTTCTTCACATAACGCAACGCTTCTTACCTTTTTGATAGCTCCTAATAAGCTGTATCAAATCTCCACAATATATGCCATGATATCTAGGTTGAGAAAATATTGCACGTCATCAATATATTCATTGCAGTGAATCGGGATCAAGCGACTAGATCAGGTACATACACTGCGCTTTGCTGTCCCTACTATTCCAGAATATAGAATCTGGTCTTCGCCTACCTCGCAATAATTTAGCACATACCAACGACCCATCTATGCTCTTGAATGCTGTGGCTGTGATCACCCCGCCCGCTGTTTGGTGCCGGAAAGCAAAGCATTTAAATACCAAGTCCTCTACTGACCTTGACTCCAGCACACTCCCAACATATACGACCTCCAATAACAGTTTTGCACATAAGACTATCAACACGATACAGCTGCAACGATGAAGCTCTTCAACGTGATCACTACCTTCTTCGGTCTTGCCGCAGCTCTCCCCACTGCCATCAAGCTTGCTCCTTCCACGGAATCCCACTCCATTCAAGGCATAGATAAGCGCGCCAAGGCGTGTATACCCAAATGTCAGGGCGCCG